GACATTATTACCTTATTTGAGACGGCAAATTACCAATACCCAGGGAAAGTTCGCGGAAGACGTGGAAGAGATTTGCTTTAGCTCAGCAAGACCTGTGGAAGACTGATATAAACGCCGTAATTTCTGTGGCCTCATAAGGGGACTGCGCTATAACTCCGGAAGCTCGTGTTGAAGTCTCACAGAGTCATTTCAAGGGTTAATACGCACAAGCATCCTGATCATACATCCGATGGACTATTATTATGGGTCTAAAACATTGCCATCAGTGGATAAACTGAAAGACCTTTGGGTTACTTACGGATGAACAGAAGTGCTAGGATTTCAGAAGCCAAATATCTTTGCAGTGAAGTTAGAAACAAAACTGTTATTCGAATCTTTAGTGTAATTTCAAAATACATTTAGATCGAGGCTCAATGGTGGAATTTCAAGAATAAGGCATCCACTCAACCCCCAACCTAGTTGCCGACACATACAAAGTCGAGGAGATCAGGAAAATCGGTGATTACTCCTCTAGGGCAGCACCAACTATACCATCACTTCCGGCTGCACAAGTGGAAAATGTAACAAATTATTTCCATACTGATCGAATTGTCGTTTTCCAGCCCCAGAACAAGCTAGATGCATGGACATCAATTGAACGAAATGATCTTTGCTTAAAACTCCGCAGAAACCTGGCGGCTGACATTACCGGCCGGCAGACTGCTGTCTTCATGCCATCCCCCAAATGTGGAGAGTTGCGACATTTTTTGAAGTATGCAGTAGCAAAACTCATTCACAAGACAGGATCTGGGAGCTGTTCGTCAGACTGCAGTTTCATTAGTTTCATCAGCAGCTTGATTAAGATACTAGAGAGAGCTGTAAAGAAAGATATCGTGGCATATTCGTTATGGCCGAGCAGCAAGGTTATGCGGGAAACGTCTAGTTATAGCACACAGACCACAAGCACGATGGACGATGGAAGAAGGCAAAGACGGCGAGGAAGATACGTTTATTTCAAGCAAAACGAGGCTTGAATAGCCCGGGGTACAAGTTAGTTATCGTCATTTATAACAAGTTTAGAGAACCGATCTTCCTCTTGCTCTAGTGATGCCACGTTGACGTTTCTTTCTGAAAAAGAAGAAAAAGAAACTTGTTTAGTGGCATTATATTGGTTTCTATTGCGTTACACAGTGTCTCACAAGTCTCATAGTAATGGAAAGATGGATGAATTAACATGAGATCAAGAATTACATTACTTAGATTTCAATAAACTATTCGATAGAACACCTTTCGCAAGAGTGCACAGGGAATTGCATAGGTTTGAGATTGCGTGTAACCTCCTCAAATGGATCAAGGGTTCCCTCGTAGGCAGGGCCAGAGAGTCAGAATTAACTTGAAATCCGCTTTCTGAACAGTAACTTATCGAGGTGTACCACAAGGCACAATGCTCCACCGTCGTCTTAGTCTATCCTGTTTATCAACAGATTACCCAGGCCCACTCAGTCTCCTATAGTCCTCTGAGCAGATGGCCATTAAATATGAGGGGAGATCAAGGATCGCAGTGGCATGCTAATACTGTACATAGATTTCAGCACTCCTTTGGGCTGGCTAAACGAATGGATGCTCCCCATCAAATTAACGCAGTTCGCAGTCATGCGCTGTGTCACAAAGATGTCAACGTGAACAAGGAGAAGAATTAGCAATATTATTAGCTGGATAGGGTGTGCGTCGGTGGCACAGTGGTTAGGACTCTCGCCGACCATGCACATAGTCCGGGGTTCGATCCACTGCCGACGCACACCCGATATCTGTGGTCGGCCTGCAAAATTTGGGCTACCGATATCCATGCTGAAAATGCCATACTTATACTGAAAATACGGTGTGGCATCAAGCTGTAATCAAAAATAAAAAATATATCAGATAAGCTTGTCTAATATGGATTTACATTCTACCACAATACCAAAGTTCTACACTTAAATCTGGAAATAACACTTTCCTCACTTCAGATGCGGACAAACCTAGGTACCACCATAAGTCATGATTTAAACACCGGGCTACAGTTTCGTGTAGTGATAGCTGGTAGCTGCACATCCCTGTGAGTGACACTTGGGGCCTTTATTGGAATCACTTTTGTTATGTTCACCACTTTATACACATCTGTGATGTGGTCAAAACTAGAAAACTACCTCATGACAGAAACCTTTCGTCTATAGGGGGATACATATACTTCAGAAAGAGTTGGTAGAGAGGCCATTGCTGGGATTTCTGACACGACCAATTTGTCGCACGCGAAAGGACTTTATGGGCCGCATCTTTTCTCCTAATCACACCGTGGGCAGTTGGGTGGTGTAATCACGGTGTTAAGAGTTCTAGGAACTGACTAACGACCAGGTATTTCCTCTCTTTTCCTTTCTAACGGGTGGAATAATTTAGGCTTGAAGCCTCTTATTCTCAACTAGAATTTTAAAATTTGAAATGTGGTGTAGTTGCTGTTAAAGGGTTAGCCCGACAAATTCTCAGAGATTGTTCGGCAATGAAACCGTCTCGGTTCTTTGTTTTATGGTGGGAACAATTTCGTTCCACTGAGATTCGTCTTGATGTATTTTTACATTCCTTCACGTGCCCCCAGTGGAATATCGGTCTTCAAGCTAGAGGCCTGAAGTTTCTGTAGCAGTGGTGCTTATTTTTACGGATGGGGTTGCTAGCCTCATGTCCAACCTTCTCTCTTTACCAGTCATATTACTGGCTTAGTGAGGTAAAAAAGTACGTCGGCCGGGAATGGAACCCTGGACCACATGTGTAGTTGGCGAGCATTCTACCACTGTGCCACCGACGCGCGTCTTGATGCGTTGAGTGTTCAATATTGAACAGATGTCTGGCAGTGGTTTCTCAAGCTAGTAAGTAATATGGCGTGTTAAGTACGTGTAAAATGTGCTTTGTTTTCTTTTTAAACCTCTCAATGTGGGCTAAATTTAAATTTAGTTTACAAGTAATGAGTATTTCGTTTGTACCCACACTTCATTCATTTGTGCCGCAATGTTTGAAAGCTTTCGATGATGGGTGTTGAGTGACCAGGTATAATAGCGATTTGTGCTGCTGTTTTCGTATCTGTCATTATTGCACGTATATTATGATTATTAGTGGTATATTTTTAAGGTTTTCCTAACAGAGTTAATGCTTAAGACTTTATATGCATGGGTATTCACCTATTCAGTAGTTATTAAAAGTCTCTAAAAGGTGAACTTCAAATTGTTTAGCACTTCCTGTTGCGTGTATATGGCGTTACCGTGGTCGAAAGTCTGGATATAGGTTCAAGTGCTTCTTAAATCTTTCTGGAGCGAGGATGTAAGTTGTTGAAAAATAAACTCACCGCTCCGTCTCAGTTTAGTTCACTAAGCAGGGAGGAGGCGGTTAATAATTGTTTGAATTTCCTCAGACATGTAACTCTATGTGGTTTTGTATTGCATACTTAGAGGAATCTAACCGCATGGGGGTTTGCTTTAGTCTGTTTTCAAAGTGTTATATGATTTTGTAACAGCCGGAGTAATTGTATATTTGGCTAAACTGTGCGCGTTAATATCTCTTGATAGTTCTCATCCTCACCAGTGTTTCTAAAGTTTCCCGTCTAATATACAATTGGTTCTTGTTTCGCGCGTCATTGAAAGTACTGTCATGTTCTCTGAAGTTTGTTTTCGATGTGTAGCACTAATTAGTTTGTATTCTTTAGCTTAATGACAAGGATCGAGAGCTTCAACTTCAGGACATAGCTTAGCGTTGGTTCTTTTTGGAAACTTTGTGATCAAGTATGACGTGATTCTTGCCTCCTGGAGCCCTTTTTGGACCCGGAAAGCTTCGGGTCGAAAGAGTGCTCTTATAGTGTGGTACCTATCCTATAAATTATTGCATGACCATTCACATAAACAACACCTGAGTATTCGACCCCACACCACTGCATTCTTATTTGACCACTAGTTTTCATCGCAACACAGATAATGCCCACAGTATAGTGAAATCAACAATTTGTAAAAAGGTTAGCAGTTTCTCTAAGCAGTGTGGTATCTTTTCACAAATCATTACTTGGACCGTCTTATGCAGTGCGTGGTGTACCATGCCCCAAGCCTTTTCTTATGTGGACTATAATATGAATGGCAGATGAACACTAAGCAACTATGAAACTCGATTTGCTGTACATAGTTTGCTAAGTCCTAGTTTGATAATTGTATTCATTTCTTTCTGCCTTAGGGCTTGATTCCCTTCATTAGTATGTTTGTAGCAGCCTAATATATTTCAAGCTTTCATAAATACATATTAAGTGCCTTAAGATTATTTATTAGTTGACTATTGGTACTTCAGTTACTTTTAGCAAAAAGAATCCTGTTCGATTTTGCTGTGCCACTATGAAAAAGCAATTATTATGCTGGTTTTTGAACAGGATAAAGTTTTAAATCCCGTTTTGTCATGCGTTTCAGTAACCATTTTTATCATTATACGTTATTTGGGAATGAGTAAGCACCAATAAAGCCACTCGTAGTTGAAAAATAATTTGACTTCGCATTTTGGGTTCACCCTCAACTGTAGATTGTATACCTCATTACCGAAAAATTTAACTGACGTGTGACCAAGAATGTAATTCTTTTTTACTTACCTAGTGACTGAAATCGGTCTTGACCTTGATTAGTAATTTATACAATGGATCTGAGCTCCATAACATCTATTGAAACTGCATTCACTGTCCCAGCCGGGTGTAATTGTAAGAGCCATCTTTATCCTTAGTGATCTGTTTGCTTGTAGTTGATGGGGGGAAAATTGATATTCATTGAATGCTCTTCTCTCATGTCAGTCTTTTTGAAGTCAGATTAGGTTGGGCAGACTAAGTGGCATTTACGAAGCTCCTCTCCTTCACTCTCATGTGTTCATAAAAAGTAGACCGATTTCGGTTGACAAAATATTCTAAATCGATAATTTAGGCAGCTCAGTTTTGGTTACAGTTGCGCATACACACTTATTATATGAAAATAACCCCCATGAATATGTTGATATCATTTATTAGTTTTAATCTGTAAAAGTAGTAATTATGGTTTCTATGTATTTATTTTTGTTTTCTTTACTCCTTTTGTGCGCTTTTATGAAAGGTGACTACTTGAAGAACTGTAACTGTGTGCAAAGTTATAGTTATGTTCCTGTTATGTTCCTCGACATTTTCATTCGTTTTAATCTTTCTGCTTTTGTTCCTTTTTCGTAGCAAATATGTAGTGCGCATACCATAAGTTTGCACTTTTCTGTTGTCACATCTAGTTTACTGTGTTCGCACTCAGTAATCAAACTCCGAATAGCATCGACAGCGTGATCCCATTCTTAATTTATTAGTTTTATAAGTAAATTGCACTTATTTCCTGTTTGACTTCTGTTTTCAGACTCTACTTTGTTGATAACCTTTGGTCTGTTTCGTGTGCCCTCCGTGAAGTTTTACTAACATTTATGTAATTCAGTATAAACAGTTGTCACAGTTTGCTGTGCGGTAGCGATTATTAATGTCCGATCTAGAATGTCGCATCCATTTTAACTTTCTCCATCCCAATACAGCGTATGCGAAGTCATTTTAATATTTGTGGAATTTATTACTAGTAGTTTAGCTTTAGGTTAAATTTTGGTATTAACTCGGTAAAATGGGAAGTAATCATGCACTCGTTTCAGTATTTGACGATTAGAAAGTTTTGGCGGTCACTGTTGTACGCACAGTTCAAAGAAATTTAGAAGTCAGTTATCCGGACTAGATTTCCCATTTACTTGACTGTTGACCAGATTTATTGCGTGTGGACTTCTCAATTGTCTAGGCTGAAGTTGGTGGAGCCGAATCGAACCCTGTCTGAAAGTTGTACAAGTTGGACAACAAATCGCACCACAAAGTTCAGGTAAAACTGGCCTGAGTCTTTGTTAACGATATTACAGCTGTATTTTACGCCATTAGATGGAAAACAGTTAACACTATAAAAGGATTATAAACTAACGATAACGATAAGTTTCTATTTGCGTCTGCTGAAGGATCTAGAGTGAAGTAAATTACGAAAGCAGCAGAGTGAAGACGTAATATTTGTCCAATATTTCTAGCTTTGATCTCACGAAAACGATTTCTTATTTCAGGTACTTTGCTTTTACGACATGAAATTGTCAGTCCCAACATAACTTATGGATGTTCAAACTGGTCACTGTGAGTGGATCGCTCCGTCTAATACAAATACGTCTACTGAGGAACTTATTAGCTCCATCGCTGGCCTAAGTTTCGAAGAAACACGTTTACTCTGGGGAAATAGTGGCTATGCAACTGTATCTACTCAAGATGTCCTGTCGAACCGTCCACTTCCATTTAGCGCTACACCGTGGGATATGTCTTCAAATGCGACTTCACATTCCATACCCATGGGTCGGGGTCGTCGTGATAAGCCCGTCACATCCACAGATTCTAATGTAAATGAAGGTAGCATCCTGATGTCACCAGGATCCAAAGATATGGTGACTCTAGGTATGCAAATGGCAGATCATGTTTTAAGTAACTCTCCAGGAAGTGGAGGTAAGTTATGATAATTCTTAACTCTGTTCTTTGTAGCTCAGTTTTTACGAGATCTTTCCGAGAATTTGTCAAGCGCATTTCCACACCGACCAACATCTAATTCACTCAATGGATCTCAGTCTGTAACATTAAACTCTTTCCAGTTTGATTCAAGTGGAAGACCGATATTTCCTAGTGAATCAGATCAAAATCAGTCAATTTCTGCAGCTAATGGATTAATTTCGAATTGCTTTAGTCCGGCTCAGTATTATTTACGTCCTCCGTCAGCTGCGACACAGCCACTACAATCTCAAGTGCCGTATTCAATCATACCTAACAGGTCCTCAGAGTATGTGCATGCAAACAACTTTACGTCTGACGCTACTGGTTGCGAACCTTGTAATCCTGTTCAGCCTGAAAGTTTACTACCTTATTTTATTAATGTTCCAACAAATAGCGACCCTTCAGCATCCAATATACCTGCTGACTCTTCTTTCAACATTTTCACTGGCTCTCAGTTACATCGAGATCAGCGTTCTGCAAATCAGTCTGACAGCACAGCACAGTTGGTTTCTGTAATTCCACAGTCAGATCAGTTCAATGGTTTACAATCTATGAAGTATAATTCCACAGCCACTAATGGGGAAAATAAAAGTCAACCATTTACTGCTTTCCCTGGGGTTGCATTTTCTGGTGTGAATCAAATGAACGCGTGCTTAGATTTTAATAATAGTGATTTTTCAAATAACACTTCGTATATCAGTCAGGCTTCTTTACCTTGTAGCGAAGGTTACTTACCAACTGTTATTCGTTCTAATGGGCCGAATTCGCAGGATATAAACAACTTCGGAGGTTGCACAACATATCCGTCTATGAATCCAGACTTTTATATGAATGGATCATCCTATAACAATAATAATAATCTTGGAGGTAATCGGACGGCAGAACATGCGCCATCTGATCAGTCTACTAATGGATTAGTTGCAAATTCACCTTTTGGTAATTTTCTGATTATTAGATATTTTTAAAATCTAGAATTCTGGTTGTATTGATTGTAATCAATTGTTTCAGCTTTCATGCATTTATTCACCTTAGTGAATTTGAATAAAGCAAAAACAACAGTGGTTTGTGCAAAATGATATGGTACCATCATTTATTTCGTTGGCTTCTCATCATCTGCTTACAGCCTAAATAAATTACAAGGTTTATATACAGAAAGGTTTTAACATACTTGCAAATTTTTTCTCATGGTGTGAGTTGACAGAAGGTTCCTCAATTAGTGAACAGTGCTCAGAAAATTGCGCTTATATAGTTTTTACACAAGCAGTTCAAGTTTAAACAAAATAAATGTATGCATACGTAGTAAAGACGAGAGATGCCTAAGGTACTGAGTGACTAATGAATTAGGTAACTGAGTTCAACTCAAATCATAGAAACATGAGACATTCAAGATTGCAAATTATAAAAGGGGGTGAGGTTAAAATCGAAGATAACGTAATCAAATGAGAGAATAAAGACATCCAGTGACCAGGGCAAGGAAAGGCTAATAACTGCTTCTTTCTGAACACATAAATCTGCTTTCAAGCGTTTGATAGAAATTGCTTCGGCAATAGAATCAAGCTCCTTTATCTATTGACCATTTTAAAGAATTTTGCGATTTCCACCTCATGATCCGTATCGAGGATATGTCTGGTAGTAGCGGTATTATAAGAGTTTGTTCTCTTGAGACGTGGGTTTTTCGGCACGTGTTCAGAAAATCGGAGGTGTGTATGCCCTTCTTTCTGTTCTGCCAGTTTAACTGCTCCCGCAGATACACGTAAATTTGCATACACAGCTGGAGTTAACATGAGAAGGGTATCTGTCGTCGACTTTTGACTGCACCAAAAAGCATCATGTTGTTCCATGGACGGGAACCAACTTAGCTGCAGGATAGGCTCTGGCTAGTGGCGGACTCAGTCTTCTGTTGACCATTGGTGCAATGTTTTCACCTTTAAAATCTAGTTGAATGAAGAGAGTCTTTTTCCAACTGTGATTTGTTTGATATTTGAGCCTTCACATCTTCCATATTTGTTAATGAATCTTTGAGGATAACCGTTGTTTTTCAACACCTTTTCGAGAATCGTAAATTCTTCCTCTAGTTTCTCTGCAGAACATATTCTCTTCTCTCTATAGTACAGAGTCTTGACTAATGTTCGTTTATAGCTCTTTGGACAAAAACTATTAAAATGTAAGTTTTCCAAGTGTTGGTTTGTAGGGATTTGATTGGTTACAGGATTTCATCATGAGCTGACATCAGTTAGAGAACCATTGGAAAATGTAAGTATTGTCCATTCCATGTCAGCTTTCGGTAAATTGACCTCTGGAGACTACCATCTTCTAGGCGTTTCATGGCAATGTCAAGGAAATGGAACTTTCCATCATTTTCATGTTCCATAGTAAATTCAGTATTTGTATGTGCGTCGTTGAATAATCTGAGTAGGTAGGAAGCATGACTTTCGTTGTTGCACACTACGAATGTGTCATCGACATATCGATAATAGGAAATTGTTTCGTCAATTGTATGCTTCAACTTTGTTTTCTCAAGGTTTGACTTGAAGATATCTGCTAAAACAGGATCAAGTGGACTGCCCATAGCTACACCATCTATTTGTCGGTAGTGTTGTCAAACTGGAATTGTACACATTGGCAGTAGGCGTTTGAATTCCGACTCTGGTAGTGGGAGAAGACGAGACTGTTTACAAATGATTTCAATGGTTTCATTGATTGGTATCAGCTTTAGCTTATGTTAGTTACTTGGATACAACCTTTACAGATGTCTCATACGGAATTAGTGATTGCATGAACTCGAATAGATTATTCCGAGTAGAACGCTCGTTCGTGCATTTACTGTAACTGTGTGGATAAAGAGCTAGTTAGCCAGAACTCAATTGCTGTGGCTAGATGCCTCATGTATTAGGCTATAAGCCACCTTTATTGGGTGGACTTATTATCCTAACCGGTTATCTAATCAAAAATAAAAGGTTTGGAATTTTAATCTAGAACACACTGCCTTAAAATCAATGCTGCAGCCAATAATCTACGTATCCTCCAAAGTAAAAGGAACAGTTGGCCAACTGTCACTGCGGCCTTAATGATGTAAAGCATGAACACGAGCAAATGACTACTGTTACGTGTTGCCTAAAGTCACTGTATCGTATTCTTCCTGGCCAGCAAACTGCTTATGACTAATATATAGGCTTAATCACATGTTTAGACAATCCTTTTTAACAGCTGTAGAATGGCAACAATAATAATAACAGTATAGTTACTTAGTGTAGTTCGTATTTCCTGTTAGTGGAAAAAATACAAGCCATTATGGTAGTTTAGAACTTGTGTTAGCATACGATGTGTATTGCATGGGATTTAGTCGCAGCTAGTTGGCAGGAAATCCTGGACTTGGGTCTTACATCCATTGGTGAGTATTACCAATGCCGTTGTTACTAGCTTTATGACTTCAGTTCTTTCTACTACTGAGGTCACAAACGCTATTCTTTGGGCTTTTTTGTTTAGCCCTTTGTGTTTGAATTCACAGCAAATGCCCATACAAACAACTGAGGTTTGTGCTTAGCTCATTCAAAGTTTCTTAGTTGAGGTGTTATTTATTCTAATTCCTGCTTTAAAAACCCCCTTTGTGAAACATAAGAAAGTTATTTGTGTGGCGTTCAGTACTTCATGCATTCACTGTTCTTGTTCACCTTTAGGTCCTGTGCCATATGGCTCACAAAAATTCCAGCATAACGTGTATCCTCGGGGGTTATCTCCAGCTCCAGGAGATCAACCAAGTATGCAACCAACTAATGGGTCAAATGTGAATAGTTGTTCAATGCATCCTACAGATACAATGAACAATCAAGGCCATATGGTTAATACATACGTTGGACCACAGTTTTTTGGAGCATCCATTAGTGGACAACCTCAGAGTGCTAACAGTTTCCAAACTTTACCCGCTAGTGGTCTATACCAATCTCTTATGCAGCCAAAAGATTCTCCTGTACATATTCAAAATCAAAGTATTCAATCTACTGTAAGCGACCCTCAGCAACAGTCTGCAGCTTTATTCGCTCATACGTTTCAGTTGTTAGCGGCTGCTGCAGCTTCCAGAAATATGGGTTCTGGAGCTCAAGACCCTCATATGCCTCCTGGCATTGGGCCAGGTAATAATGGATCAATATTAAATCCAACTGAGTTTGAATATATGAGACCTCCAGGTTTACCCGTAGAAGCCCCATTCACTGGACCCCTACATCCCGATCATTTGCAGGTATTTGGTCTTATTCGATGACTTTCGACTGGCATATATTTTTTGCTTTAATTCAGTAACTTTGCACATGCTGCGCTTCTTTATTGACTACTTGCCTCATGTTATAATTTCTCATGAATTCATTTGAGTTTCTAGTTCATTTTCCTGACAAACTGATCTAGAATACAATTTTATTTTTTTTATACACAAGTTTTTGTGTCAAGTTGAGTTGTAGGTGCTGTCATATTTGACGGGATCGCTCATCGTGAATAGTGGTAGTATACTTGTCTATTGCTAACTTTAAAGCATTAGCTTCCCTCAATTATTTCCATTTCCTTACAAAAAAGCTTTCCGTGCAATGAGAATTAAATGTCATACTTTGTTTTTAGCTTCTGTTTGAGAACCTGTAGGTATGAGAGCTTGTCAAATGAACATCCTAGTGAGTGTATGATAACAGGTATTTCAGAAGCATCATTCGGTGTATTACACTGTGTATTCATATAGTTTTTGGGGAGTGATGTCTTTATACTCACTCCGTATCATTTATGTTTTGCATTGGTTTGCTCATCAACACTTAAATCCATTAGTTCATGTATTGTTCACCCTATGTCGAAACAGTTGATTCCCAGTTTAATTTCGGTGGTTTTAGTTTTGATCGTATTCTAAGCTGTCTGAACGCCGATACTACTGGGAAATGATTTTTATTTTACCTCTATAGGATTGTTTAGTCATTTGCTTTTACGTACACATTCTATTGTTTTCCTTCTTCATGACCTATTTATTTATAGGCATATGCAAACAACTCTTGTATTCCTGTTAATGCTACGGGAATGGAAGGTTCCGGACCTCGTCATCCTCATAATATGTTGGATTTCAAATCTATGTGTTCATCAATGCCTGCTCTTTGTTCACAGGTTTCATCGTCCGTCGTTCCATCCATCCATTCTCAAAATATGTACCCGCCAACTGATGTGATCACTCAGGATTTCCAGCATGGTGGTTTAGGCTATGCAGGATTATCATCCTTAAACCCAATGACTGATCGTATGTTTCAATCCTCCAGTAGTTTTCCGAGACCTATGCCACCAATGTCTTCCAGTCGTATACCTTATATCCCTGTGAACACCACAGAAAGCCAGTCACCACCCCAGACTCCAACAGCTATGGGTGCTCCAAGGATTAGCGTACCATCTGTGTTATCAAGACCTCAAGTACCCACTTCAAATATGTATGGTAGCCGCAGTACTGCACCGCCGCCTCCTTTCTCTTCCATACATGCTCCTCGTTTTCCTCCTCGCGGTCCAACTAGTTTTCCACAACTTAATTTACCATTCATGCCTCCACCAATTCCTCCTTATCCTCATGCACGTCATTTACAGCAGCCTCCACCTGTTCTTCCACCTCCAGGATTTCTACCGGCAGCACGTCCTCCTCGTCCTGGAACAAGTACTTCATCTTCTGGTCTGTACACAAATAATACTGCACCTTCAGGAAACAGGTCAGGTCATACGAACAGTAGTAGTAGATTTCCTAAAGATCAGCATCATTCTACATCATCACAACCTAATGCTCCTGTTCCTATGATGACACTTGCATTTGCTGCATCACAGCAGCAGGGTTCTGGAGTTACTCCTGGTTTTGGAATAAGGCATCCGCCTTCAAATCATAACTCTCATTTTCAACCTCCTTACTTTAATTTCCCTACTGATTCAAGTGCAACTGCTAATTTCCAACAGAATCCGTCTTATCTTAATCCTTCAAATCCTCCACCATTGCCTATTAATAGCATGTTACCAACAGGAGCAACAAATGGTGCTACTCCGGAACGGAGTCGTTTGTTAGAAGAATTTCGGTATGTAATGTAGTAATTCACTTGTTTATAATTCTTTTTTATTCTCAGGTCTCGAATTTTTTTATTTTATCACCTTGATAAAATGATCATTTGTTATTACCTGTATTCAGAAAGCTTCAGTAACGCTGTTTCTACTTATTTTAGGGATTGAATATATGGAATGCCTGTTAATATATATATATATATATATATATATATATATATATATATATATCTTAGTGTTTATCGTAGTGTATTATTATTATTCCCTTAGGTTCCGAGTGGAACATAGAACTTCAACAACACATCCCCTCTTTGTTCTATTTTCTGCCGCCCCCTTAACTAGACCCACAATTTCCCATAATCTCTCATCTCCTCCATTTCACCTTGAGACTACCCACTAGTCGTTTCCCATTCGAGTTCCACTCAAGCAATGGCCTGGCGCACGATGTCATTCAACAGTCTCCTCAGAGTGTGCCCAATCCATCTCCATTTTCTTTTACATATTTGTTAAACAGCAGGTTCTTTTGTAGTATATTACACCATAAATTTTTCAACTCTACCGTATATTATCAACTAGTCATGGCTACTAGATGCATAATTGATTGCATCTTTACAGCAGACAATATTCTTGAATCTTTCAATTGTATTCAGTCATTCGTCCTTTACTCTGCTACCAAGTCAATTTTTTATGGCTTTTGTTCGTTTCTACATTCATAAGGTTTTGCTACTAAAAGTGCATAATGTCGAGAAGGTGTCATTGTTGAACTATCAATATTGTGAAATGATGTGGTGTAATACCTATATTTATAATTTAGAGTTCATTGCGTGTATTCGTGTGTGTGTGTGTGTGCGTGGGGGAGTAACTATATGACGTAATAATCACAGAAGAAAATTTTGAGGGTGATTAGGCAAAGAAAAGAGATGGGAGCGGACCATGGGGAGCTTGGAATTCGATATGTCGCACAGAGAACAGATTCCAGCGTATATATATATATATATAATATATATATATATATATATATATATATATATCATTAAGATGTACATCAGAATATCATATTATCGTCCACTGTCAAAATCACATCATTTGTCCTGTGTTGTTTTAAATGGAGAATATTTTTGGAACTGATAGTCTTAAAAACTTGGTTTTCGATGAATAAGCTCCACTGCATCAACTCTAGTATATAGGTAGCCGGTTAATATCAATTACCCCTGCAACATTCTATGTGACTTGTCTAATGTAAATATCTGCACATGGTTACTTGAAAGTATTATCCTTTATACTTTAATTCATCGCTATTATTAGATGGTTGGAAGCAATCGGCAGGTAGCCTCAGGCCTAGGTTTCGTGCCAGTTGGCACTCGTCAGCAAAGCGAATCTGCAACCCTGAAAGAACTCATGTCCCTTTTGAAATTTCAACCCGCGTCACCCATTACTGCAGGAGGTCATCGCTGTTAGTTTTTATTTCCACTGATATATGTTAATATGTTATATATAAATTGTTGTATCTGATTTATCTATTCTTTTAGCAATTCACGATTACCTTGTTTAACATTGCGTGATTTAATGAATCATATAGTTGAATTTGCTCAAGATCAGTATGGTTCACGTTTTATCCAACAGAAGTTAGAACAAGCTAGTGCTGTTGATAAAACTAGTGTATTCCGTGAAATTCTTCCGCATGCATACAGTCTTATGGTTGATGTATTTGGTAATTATGTGATACAAAAGTTTTTTGAATTGGGAACACCAGAACAGAAACAAGTAAGAGGAACTTTTTATGTACATATGTCAGCAGTTTTGTTATTATTATTATCCTGTCTATAACCGTTTTGCAACTTTCAGTCAAGTTTGAATAAGCTGCTGTTCCGTGGTTTCTGATTGTTGTTGGGTTAATGTAGATTCACCACTTGTCGAATTGACTGCGTCGATTCCATTAGCATTAGGATACTAAGCATATCCCCACTTCAGAACACTCAGAAAGCTTCTCTTGCACACTACACTAACAAAAGTAATCTGTGTAACCGTCACTTCTGTGCTGGAATCAAGCCGTTGTCATAGTATAAACAGTTGCACTTCGGAGCAAATGAATTTCATCGGTAGTCATGCAAAATATATCAAAGTGGTATAATATACTGTTCACGATAAGACAATCTAAGTGTTTATATGTTTGCCTCACTTACTTCATCTGATTAGCTGTAAGCATATGTGTGATTGGTGGTTTAATAATTGTCTTAAATATATCTGAGTGAGCGTATATGATAATCTTCAATACACCCTAGTCTAATCGTCTAACACACACCAACAGCACTTGAGATTTGCATTCTTGATTCAATCAATATTTCAGGTCAAAACTTTCCATGATGCTTTGATTATGTTAAAAATGTCTGTGTTCTGTAAAATAAGCTCACTCAATGTTTTCTTGGTAAATGATTTAGCAGTGTGTTGACTTTTTGTAGTGACAGTTTGTGGTAAGATAACGAAATTCCAACTTTAGGTATTTTAGGGATTTCAGCTGATTTCAATGCAGATTTCTTCATGAATCGACCGCAGCTCATTATGACAGCTATTAAATGGATGTCCTGAAGTTCTAACGATAAGTCGTGTTCGGTGGGATTTGCCATGTCAGATTGGAGTATATATCCATCGCTAATTGACAGAGGTTAAAACTCCAACTCAGTGGTTGGAATGGTCAACGGACTGGCCTCATAACCTGAAGGCTCTGGGTAGCACCGCTGAAGTGTCCCGAATTGAGGCGAAACAGCTGTCCAGTACTTCTTTGTTGTCGACAATTCTCTAACAGGTGTGGTTCCGTGACTACATGTACACTGAGGTGAGGAAATATCGAAAAGATGAAACAATCAACACCTGTTAACGCATGTTTACACTCTCGGTCTTGAGTCTGCATATGGTCTTATTTAGTACAAAATGCAACTGTTGAATCTATGAAAAGAAGAGTCGACATTCATTTGTGTGCAGCGGAATGAAAGTCTTATATTCTTGCTACTAGTAAATTACCAATAAATTGGAACTGCTTTCACCAGACAGTTAAGACCACCAAGTATGCTCATAATATATTTTTCTTAAGATACGTGGAAGACGTTGGTTCCAGCACTCATACATTTCAGACAATGAAAGTTGAGGCTATTCACAATGATAATGGCTAACAAACATATCTAAAAATTGTGTCTTAATGCAACGTGTATATTATAAATGAAGGTGGTTTCAGGTGTACAGTCACTTGATGAATAGTGCTTAGACAAGAATCAAAGTTATAATGAAATATGCAAAAAGTATGTGCTATGGATGAAGATCAGTCGAGAAGCAATCGTATTCCACGCCTTCCAAGATAACAAATTATATTCAGACTAGGCGTCAAGATTATAAGTATGATAATAACATTTAGACTCACTAACCTATCGTATTATCTGCTACTGTGATAAAAGCTCATTCGTGTAACTATTATTTAGTTTTATAATTTGAGGTGAAATTGTTAATTAGTGTCCATTAGTTATTCACTGAACTAATAACGTGGAACTTTCCACAAAAGTTCACCAGTTCAGTTTGCCCCACTTCATAAAAACTTCACACATAAACGTAGGGGAAAAATGCTATGAGACTTTGTGAAATGTTTTAATATATCTAGACTATCAGAAAACCGACAAACTGGTCGAAGAAGCAGCCGGTGAAGACAGGACTCTAGGTGAACATAGACAAGACGGAGGTTATAAAAATAACCAACCAACAACAACAACAACAGCAGAAACATCCACTGCCAATCACCATCAACGGGAAGGATTTGAAAGAGGTTACTTCTTTCACTTATCTAGGGAGCATTGTCTCAACCACAGGAGGAACGGACGAGGATGTCAAATCGAGAATCGGGAAGCCGAGAAACACATTCATCAACCTGAAACCAATCTGGAAATCTTCGTCACTCAGCCTGCATCAACAACAAAATTCGGATTTTCAATACAAACGTCAAATCAGTCAGTTCTTCTATACGGATCACTTGGAACTTGGCGGGTCACAAGGAAAACTTCCAACAGCCTGTTGCACACCTTTATCAACAACTGTCTTCGTTCTATACTCAAGATCAGATGGCAGGAAAGAATTACCAACAAGAAACTATGGGAACAAACAAAACAAGAACCAACCGCTCAACAAATATACAGGAGAAAGTGGAGATGGATTGGACACTCGCTGAGGAGGCCGTTGGGTGACATCGCGCGTCAGGCCAATGCTCGAGTGGAACCCGAAAGTGAAGCGGTGAGTGGGACGTCCAAGGGTGACATGGAGGAGATCGTGTGATGAGGAACTGAAACAGTATGGATTAACATGGATGCAAGTGAAAAGTACATCAGAAGACAGAAGCAAGTGGAGACGTGCAGTTGAAGCCCTATGTTCCACTAGGAACCCAAGGGAACAATAATACAATAATAATAATCAGAAAGAGTGAATTCATTTGCACAACTGAGCGCAATTCAGAGCCGTGTCATCAGCAGTCTTCTTTCTCTGGTTCCCAGCGTTTTGATGACCCCAAACAGACAGTTAGCCACCTCCTTACGTGGCTCCAACTATATGCCAAGATCTTTATGAATCGATGTTATGTTTTGATTAAACCAACCCCCAAACCATGTCGGCTAACATTACATATCAAGGAAGGCGGTGACTTTGAGCTGCTATCTTAATCGATGCAGCTTGGTGACCGCATCGATTGGTTTTCCTTCCTTGTCTAAAACACTACATCCAAAGTCATCATGGCCGGTCATATTATGCCACTAAACACGCGCAGGTGAACACAGAATTTATCACTTATTGTATAAAAGAAATAGTGAATCCAACTTCCTTTTCTTCTTGTACATCTATTGAATTTTGGTAATTTCTTTGATTTTTATAAGGGTATACCAAATCACCTCCCAACAGTCTTTATGACAATCATTACTGTGTAAACACTTATTTCCGCCATACAAAAAAAAAACAAATTAAAAATTTATTATCTCTATGTGTGTGTGTGTAGATACTCGGTCAAAGAATTCGTGGACAAGTATTATCCTTATCCCTTCAAATGTATGGTTGTCGGGTGATACAAAAAGCTGTTGAATCTGTTCCATTAGACATGCAAATATCTATTATTAAGGAATTGGATGGTTGTGTGATCAAGTGTGTTAAAGATCAGAATGGTAATCATGTTGTACAGAAATGCGTGGAAAATGTTCCCCCAGAACATTTACAATTTATAGTGGATGCTTTCAAAGATCATGTAAGTTGTGTATAAAAGTAATATGCCTTTTTTTAAAAAAAATTCTCTCTAATTTCTTTGCGTTCCGAGTGGAACATATGGCTTCAGTAGTGTTAGTGCTTGCCTCACCTTCAACCTTCGGTCGGTCGGTCGGGTCGGTTTTCGACATAGAACTTTGCACATATGTGCGGCAGTTCAAGTCGCCACACTCCCTCCATGTACCACACAAAGCAAGAGAAGAAAGTAAAAGAAATGCATAATATAGACAGTAAACAGAGGTGTGAGACAAAGGAGTAGTAATAACGAAGAACGAACAGTTTCATTGGAAATCATAAGTCACAACGAGTGGATGCATCTGCGCCAGCCATTGAGAACGATTTTGAGCCATGTCACCAATTGTTTCCAACCATTGGTTTTTACCGTCCCGAGGACCCCAACCAGGAAGTCTACATCTTACTACGTGGCTTAAGCTAACAGTTGTAGATTTCATTGACTGGTGCCATGTTTTCGTTTGACCGCCGCTAGCTCTTTTCCAGCCTGGCCCTATATCAGCTAACATTGCCCATTTGTCGAGGAAGGCGATGACTAGGCATACGTAACACATGTCCTAACCACCTCAGTCGATGTAATTTCACAGTCTCGTCGATTGATTTCCCCGCCTTACCTAGCACTCGACGCCTAACCTCAATATTGTTCACCTTATTATACCAATTCACGCGGGAGATAGAACGCAGACACCTATGATCGAAGGCAGCTAATCTTTTCATGTCTCCCACTCTCAATGACCGGGTCTCACAGCCATAGAGAAGGACGGAGCGAACTGTTGAGCGGTACACACACCCTTTGGTCGATAGCCAGCCGGATATCACGTCTACGCCAGAGACGGCGTAAACTGGTATATACAAAACTAGCCCTCTGTATTCTCTTTTTCGGGCTTATTACAGGCTAAGCAAGGTTTAAGAGTGCGTTGTCGACTGGGAATCAAGCCCACAGCACCACCACTGATGCACAATAATATGCATAGTGAAGTAGAATTCTGAGTGTTCATTATATTTATTAATAATTTTTCTCCTGAGATTTAGTAAATATCCCCCAAAAAAACCATTTAAGTCATATTCATATCTGACTCGAAAATAACACGACATATCCATGTCTATCAACATCTCAGCTTTGTTTGTTTTGACTCTGAATTATTCGGAAAAGATCTTTCCTTTACCAGTCTGTATAAACTACACAATTATTGTGTGAGGGTTGATGAAAGTTCATTCAATTTTGCAAGATGATCACACGATACTTAGCGAATCGTCATCACAGTACACCTCTGAATGGTTGTTAGATGGTTGAAGGCAATCAACAGCAGGAAGCCTTAGGCTTAGATTTCGTGATAACGTCTCTGACTGTGCAGCAGCACTGAGTGGCCCAGGTCGGAATCTTAGAAGGGACATGTACGCCTTCAAGATTGCAAATATTCTTACTGATGATTGCCAGCAAACACGGGACCTAGGTGATCCAAGGCTTCCTGCCGATTGCCTCCATCTATCTAAAAAGAATATTCACTGCATAAAGTCGAAAAGTGTAATTTAAGATGAAACTGGTATATTAGAGGAACTACAGAAGTTTTTCTCTCGTATTATAGACGATGTGTAGACGAGCAACCTGAATTGAAAGGTTGACAATAAATTGAGTTGTTTTTTCTACTAATTTACTGTCCTTATTTGATAAATGGTCACTGTTAGAATCTCTATGCAGCTCGCATACATCGCACAAGAGCTGATGATACTCCATCCAGTTGTCCGGGCTGGTGGTGTAGGTGCAGTGGGACTCGAACCCGTCATCTGCTAACTGTAAGCCACATCTCTATATAATCAATAAAAATAATTTGTTTGTTTAACACTATCGAGTAATCACCTTAAAGAAGATATTGCATAAGTTCATATGGTCTTGAGGCTTATCAAATATTTTTGGGTCAGCCAAATTGTTGAACTTAAAAATTATGGAACTCTGTAATGAATGCCTTGAAACTCAATTACTGTTCCATTTCATATGCTGCAAGATTAACGGCTTTTAAAAATGTGGCTACGGATGATGGAACACTCTAGAAGACTATGATCAACAACTACTCTGGTAAAAAAGATCGCCTTGGTCATTGTGAAGGACTGCACTTCAATCCTTCACGGTGTCATGTTGTGTAATAGAGTAATTGTTCACATTGAAATCAAGAAATACCTTCATATATGTTTTTGATTTCTTTCTAGGTGTATTCCATATCAACCCATTCGTATGGATGTCGTGTGATCCAGCGTATTTTAGAACATTGTACACCTGAACAAACTACTCCAATACTGTCGGAGTTACATCAACACACTGAAGCGCTTGTTAAAGATCAATACGGAAATTATGTTATTCAGGTAATGTGGTTTTTGATTTTTAATTTTGATACTCTAATGTCTGTCAGCTTTCTTATGTTGGCTTGAACTTAGGGACCAGGTGCCAGGCTGTAAACCACACCTTATTCTGTTAAATTCTGATGCTACTACTTAGTCTCTGAGGCTGAAGTAGTTGGGGCGACATTTCGAACTCTTGACCCATTAGGTGGAAAGAGTGCAAAAGCCAATGAATCACATCTCTTCATATATATATATATATGTATATATATATATATATGACATTCCTCAAACAATTAGTCCCTTTGATAAATTTGAATAAGACATTTAGAAGACAAATTTCGCGAGATGTTATCATTTCGTAGTTTCTTTACAACCCCGTTTACAACTAACATGGTCAAAAATAATAAAATAAAGATCATGACAATTACTCAGTTAAATAAAAAACAAAAGTACATACTAATGACCAATCATATTTAAATAGGTCAAGTAGTCCGTAGTAGGCGAAGTTTGAAGTATATTGTTTTTTGTACACACAGTTTAGGCTGTATGTGATTAATCCAAAGGGCTTCCATCACCTTTAACAACCAACCTTGAATTAGAGTTATGTGAAATAATTGTGAAACAGTCATTAATATTGATTTTTTTCTTACGAGTTGATTACGGACTGATATCAGTTAGAGAACCATTGAAAACCAGGGAGTACTAGACAGCTGTTTCACCCTAGTTTGGGAATCATCGGCAGTACGCACTCATCCCAACTGGGTTAGAACCCAGGACCTTCCGGTTACAAGGCAAGCTCGTATACCATTCAGCCACTGGGACCCGATTCAATGTTCCATGAATTCTAACTTCTACCAATTCGTGATTTAGCGCGACTGGCACCAATCAATGTCCTCGGTGGGACATCCATCCACACACGTGACATCTAATTGGACCTCACTGGTCACGACATCTCACTAGAACTCCAGGAAACTGCATCCTATAGCAAGTGACTAGCGAGCATCAGATTAATTTTCTATAGTTTGGTTTATAAGGGTTAGTTATGTTTTTACGAGTTGATAACGGACTGATAGTAGTTAGAGAACCATTGGATTCTGGGACCAATATACATACCATAGATTTGGAATCAAAGCTTGTAACTCCCCTAGATAGTCAGGTTGAAAGTGCTAGACGTACGCATTCGCCTTTTTACTGTTGTTTGGAACACAACCACCTCCGTATGAAAGCTATGAATAATAGGACTTACCTGACGGAAGCTATGAATGCGTGTCCACATGAGAGCATTTGGAGGGGAGAACCCAATTTGGTTGAATCAGGTCGTTTATAGGGACTTACAAATATTTTCTGATTCCTGTTTCATAGGGGATGACTCTCAAGGTTGCGAACGCTAGCGGATAATACTCTGGCGTTTGGAACGATGAGTGTTGCGGTCTCATGTCCCAGTGCAAAGGCCGCTACTCATCGGGATGCAGGTACATATAGCTCTAATTGGTTGCAAACAATTCTAAATACGCCTCTAAGATTCCAGTATTAGCGACCACCAACCAAATAATACTCTGGCATACAGGAGTTGGTTCACCATTATGCAAGTTAAAAATGCCAATATATATATATATATCTTTTCTTTTATTTCAGCATGTACTCGAACATGGGAAAACTGAAGATAAAAGTAAAATTGTTGAACATATTAAAGGTCGTGTAGCTGAGCTTAGTGTGCATAAATTTGCTAGTAATGTAGTCGAAAAAGCTGTTGCAAACGCTTCAAGAGTAGAACGTCAATCACTCATCAATGAAGTACTTGAAGAAACAACTATTCCAACAGATAATAATATGACTGTACAAAATGGTCGAGTTCGTTCAAGTGAATTTAGAGTAGATAATAATGATGATGGTGATAATGATAATGATGATGATGACGACAGTGCCAGCGATGAAGATGAAAGTGTTGATGAACCAAGAACTCGAAGTTCTGTTTTAGTTATGATGATGAAAGACCAGTTCGCAAATTATGTTATCCAAAAAATGTTAGATGTCGCTGAACAACCAATAAGAAAAGAGCTTATGACTCAGATTCGTCCACATTTGAATACCTTACGTAAATACACTTATGGTAAGCATATAATCAATAAAATGGAGAAATATTATATGAAAACAAATCAACTGCATCTGGCTGTTGGTTTAAATTCACCGTCACCACCTCTTGGTGTTGTACCCGCCTCTTCATCAGATGTCCCACAGTCGACATCGAATTCCACTGTTCGAAGTGGTGGTGGTGGTGGTAGTTCATCAGCCGCTTCAATGCTCCCACCACTTCTCACACCGACTGATATGGCTGTACGAGCTTCAAAGCCAATATCAATGAGTCGTTCTACACATTCACATCATTATCATCATACTTCTCATTATAATAACCAATCAGGTTTGTCATCATTTTCACGCAACGGTTTGCCATCATCATCACATCGTATAAAACAAAAAGACTCAAATAATAATAGTAATAGTAACTCCTCTCGAAAGACTTCAAATGATGGTGCACAATTAAACTCCTCCTCCATGCAAACATCGGATAGTGCTAAAAATTCATCTAAAGCAGTATCAAAAGCATCTGAAAATGCCAAAGATGAATCGGGAGTGGATAGTGAAAATGGTAATCATAATAATGATAATAATAACGATAATAATAAAGGAGGAGTCAGTTTGAATAATTCTAAAGATAATCATGAAAAACACAATTCAGACATGAAGTCATTCGATTTAAATCAGGCTTCGTCTACATCATCAACAGTCGCTGATGATTGTTACAGTCAAAAATGGGAGAATAGTAATGATACAGAACACAGTGTTGTATCAAATCATGACACTAGCGACCAGTTACTGCATGAATCATCAGCCAGTGAACAGTTGTCCAATATTTCATCAAATGAAGTGCATGTTTCAGCCCTGAAGAAACTCAACACTACAACAGCATCATCATCACCGTCTACGACGAGTAGTACTTCTACTACTACATCTAGCCTAAAAAGTGGTGAAGTAAATAGTGTAAAGTCAAGGCCGCCTACAAATGAATTAATGACCAACGGGAATGGTAATCATTAATCTGTTCTCTCTCTCTTTTTTTTTGTCAAAAAAATTCTCTCGCATGTGTATTCTCCTTTCCTCTAACTTTCTCTCCTCTAGAAGTGTCCAGAAGTTCTTTTCCTGCTTCGTATATTGTGTGCTTTATTCTATCTAGCTTTTTATTTTGTTTTTGGTGCAATTTTTTATTATCATTTGGCAGTGGTGGGTCTTAACACCTTTTTAAAAAGAAATTATTTCTAAGGGTTTTATCCTTTCCCATACACAAATATTTTATTGCTAGCACATGGTTTATTTTTCTGAACTGATCTTCATTCTTCTTTTGGTGCTCATGGCTCTGAGTAGTTTTTAATTATTATTATTATTATTTCTAATTATCATTTAATTAATATAGAATATGAAGTAACCTTCCCTCCTGTATAAAGCGAAATCCCCTTTCATTGTGTTGTACAGCAGGAGACAATGCTAACTATCTAACTATAAGTAACTTACTAACTAACTATCCCCCCTTTTTTGTTTCACTCATTCTTCTTTTACCCTTTTCCTGTATACTGAATTCCTTTCCAACCACTCCTGTATTTTCCTTTTTCCCTACTCCTATCCAACCTGTGTGTGTATGTAGTATATCTCATGATAAGCTTTCCTTTTGACTAGTTTTTATCTTTGCTTACCCTGTCTATTTTGATGATTATGCACATATATATATGTATGAATGAACATTTATATTATTTTAGCATATCAGTTGTTTTCGTTTGTTTGAAATATTTCTTTTTAATCTTCAATGAAGTTTTCTGATCCTTACCAACTCCACCAACATCATCATCATTATCATCACCAATCCGTTTTCTTTTATTGCCTAAAAAACTGCATATTTTTATCTATTTATTTATTTGACTGTTGAGCATTCTCTTCTTTTTTCTCTCTCTCCATCCCTTCCTTCCTCAAAAGTCGACATATTGTGAAAGTCCTCCTCCTCCTCCTCTTGTCATTTGATTCATTGATTTGATTGTTTCTTCTTCTCATGTCTCTGATTTGTATGCTACCACCCACCCCAAATTTTCTGTATCTCTGTCTCACCGTCGGTATGTATCTGGGAGTCGTCAACTAGCTCGAACATCATCGCCACCACCACCACCGCTCTTCTCTCCCATCTCTCATCCACCTGTAAATCTGTGTATCTTTCAAGTACAAACAAAATATGATTTGTTTTCTACTGATATACAATAACAACAGCAACAATATTAATAATGATGAATGATTAACTGTCTCTCATTCAATTACTTCAACGTTTTGGGATTCTTTTTGTATACCTCTGTCTGTCTATGAAAATAATGTATATCTATCTATGTAGTAGTGTAAGTGTGTGCGTAGGTGCATGTGTGCATATGATCTTGTTGTATGGACCCATTTCATTTTATCATTACTATTACTATTATTATTATTATTACTATTACTACTATCTATCTCTTAGTTCTTTGTAATTCACTTTTAATTCAATGAACTTGATGTCTAATTCTCTTCAAAGCTTCTTCTTCTTCTTGTATGTAATTGTTGTAGATCATTTGTCGTATATATATATGAATCTCAATTTTATTTACCATTAATGAATTATGCATTATACATAAACATACATACGCATATTCTATAATTACACTTGTGTATTATATATACCTACATGCATATATTTGGTTTGATTTTTTAAATCTTTGTACACTGGAACCCCCCCCCCCCTTATCACGGTCTTCATTATCTGTCCTCTGTCCCATCCTCTTCTTCCGTATCTGTTAGCTACCAAGCGATTCGCATATGATAGAAAATCTATCGCTGACCTGTTACTACTACTGCTATTATCACTACGGTTTTCTTCTCTCTCTCTGTCTCTGTAAGCTTTTTTTTGTTTGATATTTTGTGGTAAACCGAAGTAAGCCCCTCCCCCTTCCCCTTCCTTTTTCTATTTTGAAACATTTACAAATCACTTACCTTCATATAATGTCTGTCTGTCTATCTATCTATCTATCTATATAAATACATATTACTCAATAATATACACATATAGTGTTCTCATGTATGTAGTATCCTATGCTATCTCTTGTCTTCTCCACCGCCCCCCCTCGCCTTCTATCTGTTTTTTTATCTATGTTTATATTATCAGGCAATTGTTCTTTTTTGTGTGGATTTACTCTGTCCTAATTCTTCTGTCATATATATTTATCACACACACACAATTCTGGAATGTCTTTATTCTTTGTATGTATGTATGTGCATGTGTGCTACTAATTTTTATCCCTTTCTCACATCTATCTATTCATCTATCTATCTATATCACCGTCTATTATCCGTTATGTGTGTACAATCTGTGTATTACGTCAAATGTTGTGTATTATTACTATTACTACTACTACTATTATTATTATTATTATTATTTAGACACCTTTTTTATTAAAAAAAACTTATTCTTCTGCACAATGTATTTATATTACTTATACATACATATATACTAAATTGGAATCTTTTAATTTCCCTTTCTTTTTCTATCTATCTTCGTAATTATTATATATACATTATATATATACACATACACGTATAACACATAAATTACTCTGTTGATATTCAATCTTACCTTGTGAATTATACGAAAGAGTGGGAGATTGTTGTTGTTGTCAGTGTGCCTTGGAACTGGTCTTTCATATACCAGACTGTGTGAGCCACACTTATTGTCTGAAGTAAATTGAACCTTTGGATCCTTTGATTGCTGCAAAGCAGTCAGTATGACATCTCGCACAGGGAGGTGGTTGTTTGTGTAAATTGTGTTTACTCAAATTTGATAAGTTTGATGCTGTTAATATAGGATGACACACAGCAGTGTTACTACAGAGTGAATTAAAGCTTTAGCCTTTGACAGATTTTGAAATTTAGTCATACTTACAGGCGTCTAACACCTGGATTATTTTTTGGCGAGAAGGCGGCATTTGAGTCAGTTGGCCAAGAGGTGTTGTAGCAATTTGTAGTAGTGATTCGAGTGCTCAGAAAGTAATATCGCACTAATCAAGGCACTCTAGTTGAACTCACGTTGGCGTGTAGGAGCTTAGTGACAGCTGTCGTCTGAAATGGTGTCCTCCAGGGGGCATCCCTGTAGGATGTATTAATGGAATTGACTGGTGAATAGGGGACTGTGCCGTCGATTTAGAGTATGCGGATGATATTGTCCTCCTATGTGGGGATTCTGATAAATCGGAGTGCTTTTTTGAACACCTTGAACGGAAATCTCCGAATGTTTGACATGCGATTAGCTCCTATGAAACGTAAGTTGATTCTGCGGGACTAAACTGCATTGACTCCTAGCTTAATGATAGAGAGTGACGTGGCGGAGCGTCTTGGCCATTTCACTTATTTGGGGAGTTGCATAAGCCTCAATGGAATAATTGATGACTAAATTTCAGTACAGATATAAGAGGCTTGTATAAGATTTGGCGACTTACTATATCTCTGGCGTAGACGTAATATCCGCCTATCGATCCGAGAATGCGTATACTGCGCAGTAGTTCGCCTTGTCCTCGTTTATGACTGCGACACATAGTCTTATGGAAAGGTTAGATACCTTGACAGCAAATCTTTAGGCTCCATCTCCTATGTTAACTGGTGTAATATGGTAATATTGAGGTTAAGTATGGAGAAGAGAAGTGAAGTTGGAAAATTTGAAATAACTGGGACACATTTCGCATATGCGCCTAATCATCACTTTCCTCGGTAGGCACTGCTAGGTAGTATAGGGTTTTGCTGGAAAAGAATTAGGAGTGGGGAGGAGTTAAACTTGAATCAGTCTGTAAATTCTTCGGCAATTATTTTGAGCCACCTAAGTAGGGGAGGTGTGAGGTTCTCGGTTGTGACTCTGAGGATGCTGCTAAGAACCAATGACTGGAAACTTGGTGATACGGCACAGAAGCATTCACTCTTTGTAATCTCCTAAAAGTATTAAATCCCAAGTTTCCCGCTTTACAGTTTTTTCTCCCTTTCATTTCTGTTTAGATTAGTACTTTTGAGTTCCTCTTTTCTCTACCTTAGTGCATCACATAGAGTGTGGCAACTCCACATGCTTTATTATTATTATTGTTTCCTTTAATTCCTAGAGCACCATAGGACTTCAGCCGTGCGTCTCCATTGCGTTCGGTTCTCTGCTAGAGTCCTCACCTGGCTCCAAGTCTGCCCACATGCTTTCATCTCCTCTTCACATGATCTCCTCCAAATCACCCTTGAACTGACGACCAACTCGCCGCTTTCTTTTCGGGTTCCACCCGAGCAATGGCTTGTCTAGTGATGTCACTTGATGGTTTCCTCAGAGTATGGCCAATCCATCTTCCTTTCTTCCTGCCTATTTGTTTCACAATCGGTTCCTGCTGGGTTGGTTCGCTCATTGCCAGAGATCCCTCTCTGTTGCTGATCTTTTCTGGCTGGCCATCTGATCTTGAGTATTGAGCGAAGACATCTGTTAATGAAGGTCTCTAGCTTGTTTGAGGTGCTCTTTGTGACACGCCAAGTCTCTGATCAGTATAGTAGTACTGACTTCACATTGGAGTTGAAAATCCGGATCTTATTTTTGACGCCGAATGCTGTTGACCTCCACACAGACTTGAGAGTAATGAAAGCTTGCCTTGCTTTCCCGATCCTTGCTTTGATATCCTCGTCAGTTCCGCCTGTAGTTGAAACAATGCTTCCCAAGTAGGTAAAGGAGGTAGTTTCTTTCAGGTTCCTCCCATTTATGCTGATTGTTGTCTGTTGTTGTTGCTGCTGTTGGTTTTGGCCAGGAATCTTCATCACCTCCGTTTTCTCTATGTTCACCTGGAGTCCTATCTTTGATGCTTCTTCTGCCAACTTGTTACTTTTCACTTGCATATCTTCTAGTTTGTGGGAAATCAGACATATATCATCGGCTAAGTCCAGATCCTCCAAGTTCTTTGTGAGTCCATTTTATGCCTGTTTCCTCATTGCCCGCTGTCTGTCGCATTATCCAATCTACTGCAATCAGGAAAATCATTGGCGATAGTAGGCGACCCTGTCTTACTCCTGTCTTCACTTCGAAGGATTCCGTGAGCTTTCCGTTGTGGATTACTTGGCATGCAGCATTGTCGTACAGGTGTTGGATGAGCATTACCAAATGCTTTACTTATGTGCAAAGGTGTATGCTGGAAATTATATATATAATGCATAGTCAAGTTAACAAAAGGAATGTATCCAAAGATGTGTCAATAAAAGTTCTTTGTTTTAATAATAACATTAATTATAAATAGAGAATAAGACCGAAATAAGTAAAGTAACATAACTGACAGGACTGAGTACAGTTCAGCTTAAATTGAAAGAAAGTCAAGTTAAAAACATTGCGGTAGTAAGGATGAAGGTTGTAATAATAATGACAGTGGCGAAGTAAGATAGCTGTTTGTAAAGATGAAAGCAGTACCCGACTCCATGGGTTATTGTAAGCGAATTTGTAGAATGTTGCTAAACTTTAAGCAAATTGAAAGTGTTTCTCATTTCCACTGACTTACAGAGTTTCAAACTTATTACATGAGATCTTGATGGATGTAAGAGTTTAGAATAACTGAATACATCTGCAGCATTGCGAACAATTCTGAGCTAATTTGATGACTGTCTCGAGCCTTGGCTGTAGCATCCTATTGGGACCCAAACCTCGTAATCTACACCTGTCTGTGGGGCTCGAACCAACAATCAAAGGCGTCATGGACTGATGCCATATCTTTATTTGATCAACTGTAAGTCCCTCAAACCTAATCATATATCGGCTAACATTCTTCAACAAAAATGGTGTGGCTCAGCATGCTTAACACGTGTCCAAGCCATCTCAATCAGCTTAACCTGGAAACTACATCGTTAGATTTTCTTTCCGTATTTGACATCCTAAGGTTTAACTCCTATTACTCACCATATTATGCTACTTAACACGGGAGATAGGATGCAAACACCTCCGTAAGCTCTTATACTGCTGTGTGATTTCGACTAGAGTGACTTTATTAATGATGTATGCTTCCCAGACACTACCTTCACGTCCAGGCATTGCCACTGAGCTTCTCGGTGCTGATGTATTGGTCTCTATTCTTATAAACCAGGATACTCAATGATTTACACCAATCCAATGGGGCTATCTCGGATTTCCATACATCGGCAAATATCTTCACCCAAACATTAGTTCGTTAACACCATCCTTCAGTACTTCTGGAGTCACTCCATCAGTTCCTGCTGCATTGTTCGGTTTGAGATTGGAGGCAAATTTTGCAACCTTAATTACAGTTGGAGGACTGATTTTCCATGCCTTCAGGTAGTTGTTTGATGCTAAACAACTTTAGCCTGGCCTGGCTATAGGCCAGTTTAATAACTGCTTCCTAAAGTGTTTTCTTCAGCTTTCTCATTTCAATGAATGGAACTTGTTGATGACTGTTTAATAAACAGACTATGTAGATTAGTTTCTATCAATTCATCAGGAGTGTCTCTCTGTGTAAATCTGTCTGGTCGCTAAGTATTTTGTACAGTTACTTCAACGCTAACATGTTCAGCTACTGAAGTACACTGTCAACGATTCCTCCCAACCGATAAATGTATGCGATCTTTTCATGTAATCTCGTCTAGTTTACTAGCTTGCTAGTCTTATGGCCGGTCCCAAGCCTGGGTAAAGAAGGATGGTTGGGTGTGGGTTTAGCGAACCTACATCACGAAACCAATCAAACTGCTACAGAAACTTAAACGCACAAGAAGTATATTAAAAATACAAAAAAATTTAAAAAACTGACTTATTCTTCGCTGGAATCGCGGAGGCGAAATGACACAGTCGGCTGGTGAAAGTCTCCAGGAAGCCAGTCAGCCGATGTGTCTTCTGTCGACGAAAGCAAGAATACGAATGAGGACGTATAATGTCCGTACAATGTACAGGGCTAGGAGGGCCACCCAGGTAGGCAAAGAAATGACACAGAAGTCCTGAGAATCTGCGAGAGCAGACGGAATGGATGTAGACTGCCTAAATTGTCAACTGGAGAGTCAGTAACCCACTTCGGTCTGGTCACCCAGACGACAACCACGAGCACACGGAGGCAGTGAGTGACTATCATGATGTCACCAGTGGCAGCCAAAACTCTAATTCAGTGAGAACCGATCTTCTCATGCAGGAATATGACAGCAAGATTCAACTCAAGAGGAAGGAAGGAAGAAAGGTCACGATTATCCAATGCTACAAACAACGCGGAACAGGGAAAGAAACAAGATTTCTATAGACAACTACAAACAGTAATGGACAACATCTCGAATGGTGACATTAAAATCCCCATAGGCCATATGAATGCCAACCGAACTGGGAGCTGATAATACAGGAAGAGAACTCATCATGGTTCAAGAGGCTCTCGGAGAAATGGATGAGAACGGAGAATTATTCGCAGACTTCTGCTCTTTCAATGATCTGGTGAT